CAGATCCTTTTTTCTTGTTTTTTTCTGTATCTGTTCAGATCCTTATATAATCTTCATATCTACTTATGCTAAATTTGCAGTACATTTCCCTTATAAGTTTTTTGAATTGTAATATATTTTTAAGTAGTAGAGTGCTGTGATACTTTATGATTCTTAAAAGTATTGAATATAATAAATTGATTTGTTTCATTTATACCATTCGTTTTCTTTACGCATAGACTGTTGCGGATATTATTCGAACATGTCTTGGTCCTCGGTCGATGCTTAAGATGCTTCTTGATCCAATGGGTGGTGTTGTTCTCACTAACGATGGTAACGCCATTCTTCGTGAAGTTGAAGTTGCACATCCGGCGGCTAAAAGCATGATTGAGTTAAGCCGAACTCAAGATGAAGAAGTTGGTGATGGTACAACAAGTAAAGGAAAAAAGTGATAATGTTAGTATGCTTTGCTTTTAAATACCAAGGATAAAAACGGTTATTTATCTTGGAGAAGAGTATCTGTAGTAAAGAAGTGCTATTTTCTGATTATTTATATTAAAAATTTATAAAGTGAAAATGATGTTAATGAATAATTAATAGTATTAATATTGAACTTATAAATTTATTTAAACTTAAATAATGAATTAATAAATCACATCATGGAAAAATGGTTTCATATATAGACTATAGCTCAGTCTTTTATCTTTCTTAGGATTTCGTCTTTTAGTAGGGGTTCTGAAGTTTCGTCTTTCATTAGAGGTTTCGTATTTCTTCAGAGATTTCATCTTTCTCCAAGGATTTCGTCTTCCATCAGGGGTGTCGTTCTTCGCCAGGAGTTTCGTCATTTCTCCAGGGAGTTTCATCTTTCGTCTTTCACCAGTTTTAGGTTTCATCTTTCTCCATTGTGTAAAGTAGTTTCATCTGACAACTATACAACAGTTGATAATGAAATACAGAATTCTGATAATAATTTTAAAGATGAATATGTCGATCGATTGACTCAAGCAATAGTTTGGAAACCTGTTAACCCTGTAACGACTGATCATGGTATTATAAAATCTTGTATAATTGGGTTTGCTTTTTTATTATAATATCATTCTTAATATTCATATTATCTAGTTCCATCTTTTATAAAACAAACTGGATCTTTGAAGCAAATATATCATACTTCCGACAAAACTTTAAATAATCCACCAACACCCTATGATCTAACCCTTTCGTCTCTTCTATCAGCTGGCCTTCATATAGGACATTCAAAGTCTTTATGGAACCCTAACACATCTCCATTCATTTTTGGTATTCGCCACGGTATCAGCATCATAAATCTCGATCACACTTTGATTTACTTACGTCGTGCATGTAAAGTCATTCGAGAAATAAGTTATCGTGGTGGTATAATTCTATTCATTAACACACGTGGTGGAGGTTTTGCTCGTGCAACAATCAATGCGGCAAAACGTTGCCAACAATTTCAACTTACAACACGTTGGTTACCTGGTACCATAACTAATTCATCACAAATATTGGGTCATTTAATACCAAAAGAACCTGTTGAAATATTACCAAAAATTTTTAAACCAGATTTAATAATATTATTAAATCCATTAGAAAATTCGATTGTATTAGAAGAAGCAAAACATGGAAATGTGCCTACAATTGGAATTGTAGATACAGATTTTGATCCTCAGAAAGTTAGTTGGCCTATACCTGCTAATGATGATTCTGTTAGAGGAGTTGAATTAATTGCGGGTGTTCTTAGTGTTGCTGCCAGGGATGGTCTTATACATAGACGAAAAATGATGGAAAAAATAGAATCGCGAAGGATTAGACCAAGATCTACTATTATGAAAATCTCATCAAAAACAAATTAAATAAAATAATTAAATTTAATAGAACTATACTAATAATAAAATTTATTTTTATCTTAGCTGTTGCGGCCGTACTAATCGTATAAGTATTTCAAACATATTATTAAATTGACTTTCTTAATTGTAATGTAATTTTACTATATATTGAATATAGTATAATAGATTCTGATTAGTGTTATGTTCGAACTTCAGTTCTACGACTTAGAGTTTATATAAGCTTACTATTTTATTAGATCACTAAGTCTTAATTAATATTTCATATAATAAATTTATTTAAATTTATTGTTAGAAAATTAGCTAGAAACAAGGAATGTTAGTTTACACTAATAATACAATTTGAGTAGTCAAGTTAAAAAAGAACTCTTAGAAATTATTAAAGTATTAAATAATTTATGAGTTAAATTATGTAGTAAGAAATCAGAAATACTTATAATAAACTTCAAACAGATAAAGACTATTAGATATTCGGAACTTTGAATCTTTAAGAAAAAAAAAATAGTAAATATAATGTATAAAAAAGTTTTAATTAAGAATATATAAGATGATAAAATTCAAAAGAGTATTAGTTAGTTAGCTTATATATTTGAATAATAATATTTTGTTATTAAGTATAGATTACAGATATCTTTTTTTTATAAGTTAAAATATGATCAAATATAAAGATCAATTTGGATAGTGATTAAAAATATAATTAAGTTAGCAAAACTAATATAAAAAATTTAAAGTTAAAATTAAATATGTTCTGTATATTTAATTTTAACTTTATATATATTTTGTATTTCTATAAATAGAAGTTATCTAAAGTCAGATATGTTCATATAACTAACAGCTAATTAAATTGTAAAATATAATCTTTTCAAATTAGTTTAATAAGACAAAAACAAAGAAAAAAAAAAAAATATTAAAAATACAAAAAATAAGTATTTAAACTTATTTTAGAGTATTAATAAAAAATATTAAAAAAATAATTTTATTTATAAAATATATTTTAACTCTAACTCTTAATTAATTTTTATTCTAATTTTAATTAAATATTTAAATATTTATAAATATATTTAAGTTTAATTATTCTCTATTAATAGTATTTCAAAAATTATAAGAATTTAATATATATTAATTTGAAAAATTTATAAAAATTTTTATATGAGATATATATTTATATATTTTTTAGGATTTTAGTATTTTGCACTGCAGTTCATCTTTATAATTTTTTTTTTTTTTTTTTTTTTTTTTTTACTTTATACAAATGCTATCAGCTAACTTTTATTAATTTCATAAATTT